GGGGGGGGGGGGCTCAAGCACCCCCCTGCCCCTACCTGGCTACGCCCATGAAAGCTTTGTATATAAAAATTGGAGGAACAACAATTCTTCTTCTTCTTTTTTGGCGCTGTAACCGCCTAAGCGATTTTGGCCGAGTTCAGCAAAGCGCGCCAGTCGTTTCTCTTCTGTGCCAACTGACGCCAATTGGAAACGCCAAGTGAAGCCAAGTCCTTTTCCACCTGATCTTTCCATCGCAGTGGGGGCCTCCCTCTCCCTCTGCTACCACCAGCGGGTTCGAGTTGAATACTTTCAGAGCTGGAGCGTCGGTGTCCATTCGAACGACATGGCCAAGCCAGCGGAGCCGCTGTATTTTAATTCGCTGCACTATTTCCATGTCGTTGTAAAGCTCATACAGCTCATCGTTCCATCCTCTGCGGTACTCGCCGTCGCCAACGCGTAAAGGCCCGTAAATCTTCCGCAAAATCTTTCTCTCGAACACTCCAAGAGCCGCCTCATCGGCTGTTGTCATTGTCCATGCTTCTGCGCCATATACCAGCGCGGGCATGATGAGTGACTTATAGAGCGTGGTTTTCGTACGTCGAGAGAGGACTTTACTCCTGAATTGCCTACTTAGTCCAAAGTAGCACTTGTTGGCAAGAGTGATTCTGCGTTGAATTTCAATGCTGACATTATTATCGGTGTTAATGCTGGTTCCCAAGTGAACGAAATTCCCTACGTGCCAAGGCGCGAATGTGCTGACTGTTTGTTTGATGACAGGAGATACTTCGTCTTGTCCTCGTTTATCACCAGACCCATTCGCTTTGCTTCCTTATCCAACTTGGAAAATGCAGAACAGACTTCGCGGTTTTTAATACCGATGATATCGATGTCATCGGCATCCCAGCAGTGGGTTGTGCGCTGGGGTTGGGGCCCGCCACATAAAAACCCCTTCCAGTGAAGAAGCAAGAAACAACACTTAAAAGCAAAAAATAACTTTTTTATAAAAAAATATTTGTATCGTTGTAAAGGCGATGAAATACCTTATCTTCTGGTATGCATATTTGAATGCTTCGTATATAAAAATTTGAGAAACAACACTTAAAAGCAAAAAATACCTTTTTTTATAAAAAAAAAATATTTTAAACAAAAAAAATACAAACCGATTTTAAAAAATTTATATCGTTGTAAAGGATACCGGAAAAGTTATACTTAATCCCAAAAATTTCTATTTATATACACAAAGAAAAAAATTTAATTAAAAACATTTCTCCAAACTCCAGCCCCCCTAGGAGAAAGGCTGCCTACGCTGTACAAAAAAAATTAATGTATTTAAACCCTACATCATACAGTCAGTTTATTCTTTTAGAGCGCATACAAGGTTCCAAAATACCGATTGCAGTATCTTCATTTATGTACATATATTGTAACTATCAATATCTTATAAAGAGAAGTGTAAAATGTTTTTTATCTGAAACTAATAAAGATATAAGGACGAAATGCGCAGATGTGGTAGTTAACATATTAGTCCTTGATATATATTTTTTTCAAAAATAAATATTGGAAATTTCCAATCGTATTCTAGAAATTTCAAAGTCCTTTTAAAAAAAATCTTGAAGCCGGTGAGAAAAACTAAAAACGCAGTTTTACTATATTTGGCCCCCAGTTTTGTGAATATAAGGTTTTTTTTTGTGTGTAAAATTGACTGTCGCACGGTGTTATAGAAAATAAGGATTGATATTCAATGTAAACGGTTAAAAACTCTGATCAAGAAGTAATAAATATTTCCATTTGTTTTTACAATTTTTTTATAAAAATTAAAAATTTTGTACAAAATTATTATTTGAAAAATTTAAACAATCACACTAAAGCGTGTCTAATTAACTATTATCATGAAAAAATCAGCAAGATACATGCTATGAACCAGTGGATAATAAATAATTACTGAATTTTTGTGTTGGTGTTGGTTGATTTTTCCGACAGGGTGGTAAGATGATTTATTTTGGAACGAATTTCCGTCATCCCTTGTCAAGTTCGGTTTGCAGAATAATGGATACCAGAGAGATCTAGTAGAGGAAATCCGAAGGGAGCACAAAAACAGGAAGCCAAACAAATAAAAAAACAATGACACAAATTGGGCGGTATTAACCTATACTGGAAAGTCAACGTACAAACTAGCAAACCTGTTCCAGAAACACAACCTTCGCACATCATTCAGAACAAATAACAACGTAGGACGGATACTACGGAACACCACAAATCGAGAAGACCCATTGGATACACAAGGAGTGTATAAACTAACTTGCAAATGCCAGCATAGTTATATAGGTCAAACAGGATGGAAAATAAAAACAAGATTTCGCGAACATATAAGGCACAGTATATACAGTAATAAACCTTTTTGAGTACTCCTCGGGGGTAAAATCTGATCAGGGTTGATAATGAGAAGGATCATGAATTTTGTTGATTCAGAGTTGTATACAAAATTATTCTGGTATGAAAGGGAGCAAAAACCGCACTATGGCAAAGTGACATAAGTCATGACTGTGTAATAGTGCCCGAAACTATTGCAAAAGTGTAAAACCATTGCAAATTTTTGTCTATTATTATAGATACTAGTATAGATTATCATAGTTCAGTGTATAATTTGTTATATTA